TTTTTTTTTTTTTTTTGAGATAGGATCTCACTTTGTCACCCAGGCTGGAGTGCAGTGGCATGATCATGGCTCACTGCAGCCTCAACCTTCTGGGCTCAGGTGATCCTTCCACCTCAACCTCCAGAGTAGCTGGAGCTACAGGCATGTGCCACCATGCCTAGCTAGTTTTTGTATTTTTAGTAGAGATGGGTTTTTGTCATGTTGCCCAGACTGGTCTTAAACTCCTGGGCTCAGGTGATCTCCCATCACAGCCTCCCAGAGTACCAGGATTATAGGCATGAGACACTACACCTAGTTTATCTTCACAGGTCCTTTCTGAGCCTGTGCCCTTCCCTAGGCATGCATGATTACTTTCTGATTTTCTCCAAATATGCAGTTATTTTTGAATTTTCCAGTATTTATTGTCTGACTCCCAAAAGGGAAAAAGGAGAAAAAAAGAAAGGAGGAAAAAGAGGTGCTGGCCTTTTAAATCACCTGGAAGACACTTTAGCCAGGAGATTTGCAAAAATGAGGAGAGGTACAGCAACATGGCCACGTGTCTCTTTGCCTGTACTTCTGTGATCAGAATCAGTGATCAGAGTACAGATCCTCAACATTTGGGGATCAAAATCCATTTTGTCTACTCTAGCTCCTGTAATTGTAGGGTCCTGTAGATTGATTCAGGACACCAGGCACAGCTTCCTTTCAAAGGACTAAGGATGGCAGATGGGTAGCTGCCACTAAACTAAGAGCTGAAATTGATCAAAATTAACCACATTTTACCATTGAGCTTTCCCCTAGAAGTTGCATGCTTTCAGTAGACTACAGAGTTCCAAAGTAGTTAACATCAGACAGATTTTGTCAGTTCATTCACAGTTTAGGGGGCATACAGATTTCTGGTGCTTCCTACTCCACAGTCTTTCCAGAATCCTCCTCCTTTAACCATTTTTAAGTATACAGTTCATTAGCATTAATTACAGGATCTTACTATTAAGGCCATGTTTCATTTCCTTCTTTAATTTTTCAAAGAAATACTTCAGGATCCTGTACCCACTTGTTTAAAATTTCCGTGGAAAGTTCTTCTCTTGTCTGAAGCTGATCTGGGCACAGGAGTTTTGGCACCAGTTGAGTGGAAAGTTTGTTCAGCTTTAATTTTTCTGTCAGAATTGTATTAGCTCAACCAGCTGAGATGTCTGTGGAGTTGAGTATTGTTTGTGCTGTTAATTGTTGGTCCTTTTCAATTAGGGAACAAGTAAATTGATTTTTTTCATAATACGCATTTTCCATGAACTTTTTGAAGACGCTCTCCTATACTAATAAATTCCATGATGAGATAAGTTGGGAAAATGCTGCATATTGTATTCTTCTTTTAGAGATTCATATTGCTTATTAAACTGTTAGAGGCTCTGAAGGAACCTGTGTTATTCAGCATTACCAAAACTTGATTATTAAATTTCTCCTCCCTCCCCTTTGAAATACCCCCATCTCATAGAACTAATGAGCTCAGTTTGAGAAATGCTAGATTATGCAAGTTTTTTTTAGCAGTATAACATGACAATAGCTAGTATCTGGCCAGTTCAAATAGCTACTCATAAGCAAATAATTTAGAATGATTTTCTTTTTAAAGGGGCAGAATAATTGGCATCTTTGAAAATATTTTTATAATTTTCAACTCTGTCATTCAAGGCAATGTATATACAAAGGAGTAATTAACTATGTTATAATATTTCCATTTGTGCCCACTATGTTTTATATGCAAAAACAAAGTTATCAAAAGATATAGGATCAATTTTAGTCCTAGAATTTAGGGTTTTCTTTAGTCAGTTAAAAATCTTTTGAAGGTAGTCTTTAAAATATTTTATATAGCAAACATGCTATACATATTTCCTCTAAAAGAAATAGAAAAATATTTTTAAAGAGTTAAAATGTTCAGAGTAATACAGAGACTATTTATTGATTTATTTTAAGTTTTCTTTTCATCAAAACACTATTCCACAAAAGAACTCTTTTTGTGAGACAGGGTCTGACTCTGTCGCCCAGGCTGGAGTGCGGTAGCATGATCTTGGCTCACTGCAATCTCAGCCTCCCAGGCTCAAACCATCTCACCTCAGCCTCTCAAGGAGCTTGGACTACAGGCACATGCCACCATGCCCGACTAATTTTTATATTTTTTGCAGAGATGGTGTTTTGCAATGTTGCCCAGGCTGGTCTCAAACTCCTGACCGTAATCAGCTTGTTCACCTTAACTTCCCAAAATGCTTGGATTACAGGCATAAACCAGGACCCTGAGCCATTAAAATAAATATTTTTATTGGGTAATTTTGGTGACTAATTCTAGTGCATTCTTGGCTAAAATTATTCTTATTAATAAAAATTTCTAATAACTATGAAGGGTTATCAGTTGTGTTTACTCTGTATATTTTGTGTATTTGGGGTCTTGTCGGTAGTTTTGGCAGTCCCCATTCACATATATTTACATTAGTAAGTAAATACATTTTATTTTTTCTCCTAGAGTGTCTTAGAGTATGAATTACTAGCTTTTCCAAGTAGTTTAGTGCACATTTTCAAGTTATTAATTGAAGTTGCTTTTAGGCTGTTGCTTTTAGAAAAGTTGCTTCTGTATTAGATTATTGCCAAACTAATAAGGAAAAATATATTTGTAAAGGGAAAGTTATATAGTACTGTGTAAGATACAGTTTATCTTCAGGTTAGTGCTTTTGTTGCCAACTCACTTTGTCCCATGTGGTTACTGTAAGTTCCCTGTCCTTTTTATCTCTCCTTTTTTTCTTCAATATGATTGGATCTAGAGAGCTGCAGTAGTTTTGACAAACCATTTTTGATTTAGCTGACCAGTAACTTTATTGCCTGTAAGACCTCATGTCTAAAATTTATACCTATGACCACTTCTCTGACTTATTTCATTAAGTTCTTCCACTGATTTTATTTTTCCTGTCTATAAACAGGGGACTAACAAACTAGCCTGGTGATCATCATTAAGTTAGTCTGTAAACCTTATTTGAGCATATATTTTTTCTTTCTAGAATAAGGTTTTTGACTTCAGTTTCCCGTGGTTTGTCATCACAACAATAGTTAGTTACAGCAATCACTACCGAACCCCCGCCCCTGTGTTTTTTGTTTTTGTTTTTGTTTTTGAGATAGGGTCTTACATTGCCACCCATGCTGGAATGCAGTGGCGCAGTCTCAGCTCACTGCAACCTCCGCTGCCCAAGCTCAAGCGATCCTTCCGCTTCAGCCTCCCAAGTAGCTGGGGCTACAGGTGTGTGCCACCTCGCTTGGTTAATTTTTGTATTTTTAGTCGATATGGGGTTTCACCGTGTTGCTCAGGCTGGCTCAAACTCCTGGACTCAAACTATCTGCCTGCCTTGGCCTCCCAAAGTGCTGTTTACAAGCATGAGCCACGACGCCGGGCCGCAATCCTCCTCATCGTTTCTTTCCACTAATCAGGATATATTATTTTTGTAGCAAATATGTGATCCTGGTTCCTCAAGAATTGAGTTCCTGCTCCTTCCTTAATCCAACATCCTTACAAGGATTGAAGCCATTGAATCCAAGTCTAGTGGATAGATCTTCAGCCCTCTAATACTGGTTGTTTTGAATCTTACTTTGCCTCTGAGGTTACCTATATTTATGTGATAGTAATTATCGTTTAAGATACAGGGTAAGCCACAGAGCTTCCATTAGTGATAGATGATCTATTGTTTTAATTCAGTGAGATAATTGAGCTAATGAGTATTGACTATAGTGTTAACATTATTGGATATTGTGAATACAATGCCCATTGGATAAAACAGTTTTATTGATAAAGTTCAGCATTTAGTGGGACATTTAGTATCATCTCCCTGTCTTTTCCTCATTGTTGAAAATTTTGAGTTATTTTGATGAAGAGATGCATTTTTTCAATGTTATATCACAGACTTAATATAAAGTCTTTCTGCAGATTTATAGTCCTCTTAGATTTGATTTGAAAAATAGTATTTTAGATTAAAATCTTTATAAAATTATTGCTCTTCAGTGAGATTTTCTGTAGATAGATCTTAAAATAAGCAGAATTTTAAAAACTAATAACATTTCTATTTCATTTTAGGCCAGTAATAGAAATTGTAATGAAAATGTCCAGCCCCCAAACCACTGGCATATATTTCTGATGTCTTACCTGTTTGTGAATGACCTAAAGACATGTATACGGAATTCCCCTTCCCCACCATACCTATTTTTAAGTCATACTGTGAAAACATTTCTCTTGTGTTCTGAGCCAGTTAAAATTATATAGTGACTTTTTTTTAAGTGGTAGATTGTTACAGAAACCCAAATTGGAGGAATGGGAGTTTGGAACCAGGTGTAGAGAAAAAAAAATCAAGAAAAATAGGACTGAATTTACCTTTGTAACAATAAAGTTACCAGTAATGAGACTTTTTTGTTATCATATGAACATATTTCCATTTGGGGCTATGTTACATTTCTTAAACTCTGTATTAGAAAGATTTACAAAGATTATAACACATTAAATAGATACTTGGCTTTTTTAATGTCTCAGGTGAGTTTTATAATTAGATTCTTTAAATAAACAGCTTTATTATTGTGGCTCTGCCTTTAGACTTTTTTTATTTTATTTTTATTTTTAAATTTATAAATTTTTATTTTTATTTATTATTTTAAATTTTTATTTTTATTTATAAATTTTATTTAGAAATTTTTATTTATACTTTAGCTATTAAGTGAATCACAGCCTTCAGTCATTTTAAGTCACCTGGTTCTAATCTCGTGGGCCATTGAAGGTACTATGTATAATTTGATCTGAGTTTCTTAATTCTTTTTAAAAATGTTTAAGTTAGTTATGTGTCATATTTTTGTTTTGTTTTTAAACAATGCCATAAAGCTTTCATAGTCTGGGTAAAATAGTCTACCTTCTATGATTCATGTATCTTATGTTTTTATTCTTTTTGGTAGTCTGTTGTTTTAAATTGTCATGCTAATGTTGACTCTTAATTTCTTTTCTACAGCCTGGATTTGTGGTATCATTTCTATCACTGTCATTAGCCTGCTTTCCTTGCTAGGCGTTATCTTGGTTCCTATCATTAACCAAGGATGCTTCAAATTTCTTCTTACATTCCTTGTTGCGTTAGCTGTAGGAACAATGAGTGGAGACGCCCTTCTTCATCTACTGCCCCATGTAAGAAATGTTTTTAATCTTTTTAAAAATTTAAAATAAAAATATTTAAACTGAAAGGTCCTTCATTAGCAAGCTATAGCACAGTAATCTGGTATTTGTATTGTTTCATTTGATTATAGGATGAAGTATTTTTTCTCTGTTTTCAGAGTTTTAATAGCAATTTTTTTAAATAAATTGAATCATTAGGTCAACTTTGCTTTCAGTAGTCTTTATAAAAATCTCTTTGAATTAAAATTTGCAATATCAGTAGCAGTGAGTGGTCTTTTTAAATCTGTGTAGCGTATCAGGTAAGCGTTTAAGAGAAATACAAAAGATGTTGTAATGATTATGTCTGTAGCTGGTATGCCATCAGCATCTTTGAGCAGAAGTAGGCAGATACACTCAGTGTGCTGTTTTACAGTTAGCTCTTTACACGTGGGGGCATTTATCTTTTCACCTGGCATACCACTCCTTTTCTTCTCTTTGGGGACACTTCTGATTAATTATATGATCACAAACCCATATTCCTAGTACAATGCTTATCAACCTTTTTACAAGTTGCTCTCTATAACCTATCAATAGTTAGGTAGATAACTGTCTACCACCAGCTAAGAGTATTTAATTCACTCTTACTATTTTTACTTCAAATTATGAAAACAATGGGAATTTTTCTTTTCCAAATATAATATTGAAGTATTGAGTATTTTCCTTCTAGAGAATTTGGGAGACAGGATTGTATTTGTGTTGTTGTGTATATCGCCTCTTTTGTGCACTCTTGGCTGAGAATTCCAGATTTAGTATCTACAGCAATGTGTGACATTGCTTTTTTTTTTTAATTAATAAATGAGTTAATGAATCTTAAGGCTGCAAGTATGAATTTTTTTGTTTCACCATTTCTACTAGCCATCAAGAATAACAATAGTTTCCTTTAGAACTGGGCCTAGTAAGAGTTACTGAAGTGAGAACAGTATTTAAGTGCTGTTTAACTTGTTTTTGTGTTAAGAAGGGTTAACTAAACCTAGCTGTTACCTTTTTGAGTGGTCTGATATCCTCTGAGAGGTTTGGGTATCTCTTTGGTTGACCACTAGTTAACAGGAAAAGAATACAAATAAATTTTAGAAGGAAGAAAGATACTTAAGTGCAGTTATCTAACTTATGTTCTATAAGATTACTATTGTGATACTTGTACATTTCATAATGTTGAAACGTAACTTTTTCTATACATATATTTATGATTGCTAAAGCTTTAAAATATAGAAAATTGCGTATTTAAGGATACCCTCTTGCTGACTTTCCACAGTATATGCAGAGATAGTGACCTTATTACCTCTGAAATAATTTATGAGAAGAAATTTATGAAATAATCTGTACAACTCCCCCGACATAAGTTGACCTATATAACAAACCTGTACTTAAAATAAAAGTTAAAAGAAAAAAATATGTAACAATCAGTTTAAGATAGAATTAGATTACACGGAATCACAAGTGACTGCTGGTGAATTAGTTTGTGTGTTTTGTTTCATTTTTACTAAATACTTGGCATGTAAGTAAATCGTGTTCACTTCAATTTACAAAGAACCCGTCACTCCCTATTATTATTTCTGGCTTGATTCTCTAACTATAGTATGTATCTTATTATTATATTCATTTGAGTTGGTGGTCTTTGAGTTACTATAAAATGTAGTAGTATTCTGGACAACTGAGAAAAGCAAATTAAATGGAAGACTAAGTGAGATATTACCTAGGGGAGCACTTTAAAACTTGAGAGGTATTTTTTCTGTGTTGTTTAGGAGATTATAATTTCAAAATTTTAAAAAGCATTTCAATTACTTGTTTAGAAGTTTTATTTGTTTTTATTAATAGTCTCAGGGTGGACATGATCACAGTCACCAACACGCACATGGGCATGGACATTCTCATGGACATGAATCGAAGAAGTTTTTGGAAGAATATGATGCTGTATTGAAAGGACTTGTTGCTCTAGGAGGCATTTACTTGCTATTTATCATTGAACACTGCATTAGAATGTTTAAGCACTACAAACAACAAAGAGTAAGTATTTTTTATTTATTTCATTTTATACCATAAAACTCAAAACAAAAATTATCCTTTCTGGGTATATGCTTTCCTTAATTATGATGTTGGTGTCAGTTTTGTAATAGCTAATCTTTAGAGTAAAAAGCTGACTTTGATTTTTTAAAATTAAACATATGGTGGTGGTTATTTGTTTTTTTTGAGACAGAGTCTCCCTCTGTCATCCAGGCTGGAATGCAGTGTTATGATCATGGCTCACTGTAACCTAGACCTCCTGGGCTCAGGTGATCCTTTTGCCCCCGCCTCCCGAGTAGCTGGGACCATAGGCACATGCCACCATGCCCAGCTAACTTTTATGTGTGTGTGTATGTATGTATGTGTGTATTTATTTATTTTGAGACAGATTCTCGCTCTGTTGCCCATGCTAGAATGCAGTGACATGATCTCCACTCACAGCAACCTCCACCTCTTAGGTTCAAGCAATTCTTGTGCCTTGGCCTCCTGAGTGGGTAGGACCACAGCTGCACACAACCATGCCTGGCTAGTTTTTGTATTTTTGGTGGAGATGGGGTTTTGCCATGTTGGCCAGGGTGGTCTCAAATTCCTGGCTTCAAGTGATCCACCTGCCTTAGCCTCCCAAACTGCTGGGATTACAGATGTGAGCCACCACGCCTGGTGCCCTCTAACTATTAAAAATTATTTGTAGAGACAGAGTTCTCAGTAAGTTGCCAGGCTGGTCTTGAACTCCTGGGTTCAAGTTCAAAGAGTTGGGATTACAGACATGAGGCACCACACCTGACATGACTTTGATCTTTGCCATTTTTTGTTATTATACATTTATTTTGGCATTTATAATCAAGATACGGCAGTCTCATTTTCAGTTATTTTGTGTTACATCATACCTAATTGACTTAAATAGGATGGCAAAAGGTATTTTCCAATTATGTTTATTATAAAAATGCAAAATTATGTAAAGAGAAGCAAGTTTCGTCAGTCTTCTTAGGCAATATTTTTAATCATAAGTGACTTTTATTGTAGTATTTTTTAATGAAAATGTTTTCACACAATACATTTCTTTATCAGAAGTGCCTCACCAATGATGGTACTGGAGGTAAGAGGTCAGATTAAGGGGGCTTTGTAGGAAGAAAATAAAATGAAATGATGGAAATGGTGACTCTTTTCAAGAATGATGCACCGCTTTGGAGATGATGCTTGATGCTTGGTTGAACTGTTGCTTAAATACTCTTGATTGTGATGCAGCTGTCTGTTTCACCTCACATTTATGAGAATAAGACAAATATCTAAGAAGAATTATTCTCCAAGAAAGTAAATTCAAGGCTGCTACCATTCACTATGATTTATAATCCTCCCTATTCTCTTCAGTTCACATCTGCCTTTTAAAGCTGTGTCCTGAATACATCTCACTAACATGTTTATGATACTACACACTGATCATCTTCAGTGTATTCTGTTTAAGTAAAGCTTTCCACAAAAAAAAAGAATTGGAAACTTCGTTTTGTTAGTTAATTCCAGGTATCTTTTTTGGGATGGTCAAGATCTTAAAGATGTGCAGTCTACTCTTAAGATACAATTTTATGCTATTTTTGTTTCTGTTTTGTTTGCATATGTATGTGTTTTGTATATATTCCTTTCATGATTTGGAACAGATCTCTGAACTGCGATTCATGGGAGTGATTCTGGTTTACATAAAACTTAGTTGTGTGACTATGACTCATTCCTCATGATTTCCAGTAGTTATCTAAATCATGAGAAAGAAATCTTACTTCTCATCTGTGTTTTCATATCTTATTTCAAATTGTATATTTTAGTTATATTTAGTCAGGACATCATCACATTGGTTTGCCTCCAAGGGAGAGGTGATTAAGATAGTGAGCCTAGAAAAGAAGAATGATAAAAGGAAATGGGAAAGTTCAACTTAGAGAAAAGTAAAAGAGAGCTAACAGTATTTAGATTTGAAGGGGCTTGTGGAAGGTGAAGTAATTAATTCTGATGGACAAGTAGAGAATAAAATATGGTGGGAGGGATGCCAACGCAGAAGGTGCTGGAGGGAAACAAGAGTTGGCTAGGTAGATAACTGCAAAATAATTTGAAAGAGGTAGTGGGACTTGAATGAGGGTCATGGCAGAAGAAATGGGAGGGGGGTGGAAAAGATGATTAAGGGAATTATTTAGATGAGAGAATCAAGAAGACTTCCTAGTTGATTAGATGTAAGACATATAAGTATTTAAAAGTTCATCACTACAATAAATTAGGTATTGCAAAGTTTGTAAAGAAGTTTTAGAATTGCCAATTGAGCATCTCTAATGTGACAATCTAAGATCTGAAATGCTCCAGTGAGCATTCCCTTTGACCGTCACGTCGGTACTCAAGTTTCAGATTTTGGAACATTTCAGATATCAGATAAATAAGTTTTTTGTTTTTTATAATTTGATCTTTTTTATCTCATTTTGAACCTAAAGTTACCAGTACTTATACATTTGTTTTTGCAAAGAAAACTGATATAAGAATGAAGTCACCAAACCATGACAGCTTTTTTGTAAATTTGAATTTGTAGGAAGTAAAACACTGGAAGGAACACCTTGGATATAGGGAGTGTACTCTAAATATTCAATAGTATGTAGTTCTCAACTATATCAGAGAAGGGAATCTGGCCCGATAAATCAGGGCATCTGCTTTATGGTACATAGGACAATAAGTAACCTAAGATGAAAAGGTTATGGCATTCTTTTGAAGAAAGGGAATTAGTGATATTTGAGTAGAATAGATATTTGACAGTCTGTACAGAATAATCAACTGTTTCAGCTTTCAAACCACAAGTTAAATAATACACTAGATGTTGACTTGTTTCAGCAAATTGGGGGCCTTGAGGGTAATGATTTGCAAGCTTCTAAGAAAGTGGACAATCAGAACTAAAGCAATTAAACAAAATCTCAGCTTGTGTTTTCATTTTATTTAATTTCTATATCCTTCTCATTGATTTTTGTACTATTGTTGGCTCCTCCTTCCTTTTTTTTCCCTTAACTCATGGTTGCCATTTTTTTTCTTCGCTTTAGGACTTGTCCATATCATTATTTTCCTGTGAATGTCTTAACTTTTCCCAGTTTCTATTGGCTTAGTGGCTTCCATTAACCATTACTTCTCTTATTCTCTGTACCAGGATTCAAATGGGGAATTCTGCTCTACTTGCCATTTGCTAGAGTCATTAACACTATCACATTAAAATTCGGCAGCCCACTGGATTAGGATGAGTAGGGCTGGAAAGTCCAAGAATACTTCATTCCCTGTCTGCACCTTAGTGCTTCTCCACATGGCTTCTCTTCCTAGGAGAGACCAGTCTTCTGCATAGGATAGTGGCTGGCTTCCCTGAGCAAAAGCAAAAGCTTCCAGATCTCTATAAAGCTAGTTCTGGATGTGGCACAGCGTCATTTCTCCTGCATTCTGTTGATCAAAACAAGTCAAAAGGCTAGCCAGAATTCCAGGGCAGGGGGGTAGATTCCAGGTCCTCATGGGTGGAGCAGAATGCTCCTACAGGGAGGGAGGAAATTGATAGTGGCCATCTTTGAGATTACCTCATGCTCTACTAGCCATGCAAGCTTACTTATGCAGCAGTTAGAAGACTTAAACATCTGAAACATAGTTAATAGCCTATAAACAAAACCAACAAGAAGAAAATGCCATGCCAGTCAATAAGCATCTCCCAGAGAAAACTTTTATTTCAACACTGCTCTAGAGTAATTATTTGCTTTCTTAAATTAACATACATTAGAAGCAGAAATTTAAGTTGAAAGAGTTGTTAGTGGTAGTTACATTGATAAACGAAGAAAGCAGTAAAAGCCAGACTGTGAAGACATACGATAAGAAAAATGTAAACCTAAACAATGAAGTACAATAATTAGTATTTGTAACTAATTAAGGACAGATTAAATTGTGTTCTCCATCTAATTCCAAGGTGGTAAGAAAGGATGCTTGTCTTTACTATAAGACTAGTAAGAGTCGCTTACTGTGATAGATCCTTTCATACATCACCTCATTTAATCCTCATAAGAATGTTATTTTTATTTTTACAGATGAATATTCTTATATTCAGTAAATTTAACAAACTTGCCCAAGTGTCAGATGGAAACTATAAACTTTAAGATGCTCACTCAAATTTGACTCTCTTCTTTATGTCACATTCAGGGAAATATAGATTGCATTAAATATGAACGAAATTCAAACGAATAAGCTTTAGTTTTTTGGAACTTTCTGTTACCTTACACTTTTGGATAAGAGAGATTTTGCACATATTATACACATTTCATTTGTTGCATCTAATAATTCAGTACTGTGTGTGCTCTCTTAACTTCAAAGGAGATGAATGGAACCTCTTAGTTGAATGTTTAAAAAAATACAAATTTAGTTGGATTTTTCGTCTGTGGATTGCTTTACTCCCAGAAAATTTTTTTCATTCCCCTTTAAAATAATTTACATACAAAGTTAACACCATTTTTACCTTTAGGTGTTAATGAGTCAATACTGTTGCTAATTGTGTCCTCGCATTTTATACTAATATCAGATACTTTTTTTTTTTTTAGGGAAAACAGAAATGGTTTATGAAACAGAACACAGAAGAATCAGCTATTGGAAGAAAACTTTCAGATCACAAGTTAAACAATACACCAGATTCTGACTGGCTTCAACTCAAGCCTCTTGCCGGTAGACAGCAATTCTGACTCAAGACAAACTTTTTTCTTTTTCTTTTTTCATTCAAATTTACATTTAATTTCTATTTACATTCATTCAATCTAAAATTAAATAATACAGTAAACTAAATACAAGATGAAAAGCAGAAAAGGTGTTACCCTCATAGCACTCCTAAAAAGGCGGATGAATAATTTATTTACCGATAGATGCAAAGCCAACTTGGGATAGGAGAAACAATAGTTTTAAGAGCAAACACATAGATGAACCCATCTTTCAGATGTTATTCTAGATAATCCACTGAGATAATACTTGTGCTATAATGATAAGAATTACACAAGAAAAAGTACTGTATTAATCAGCAACAGACCACAGGTTATGTGTAACAAAGATTTTTGAGATGGAGTCTCGCTCTGTCGCCCAGGATGGAGTGCAGTGGCGCCATCTCGGCTCACTGCAAGCTCTGCCTCCCAGGTTCACCCATTCTCCTGCCTCAGCCTCCTGAGTAGCTGGGAGTACAGGCGCCCACCACCACACCTGGCTATTGTTTTTTTTGTTTTTTTTTTTTTGTATTTTTAGTAGCGACGGGGTTTCACCGTGTTAGCCAGGGTGGTCTTGATCTCCTGACCTCGCAATCCACTCGCCTCAGCCTCCCAGAGTGCTGGGATTACAGGAGTGAGCCACCGCGCCCAGCCGACAAATACTTTTATGATAGTTTGTCTAGCTTGCTAGTGTCTCCTCCTGTGAAAAAAGGTAGATGTTTGGACATTGATGTTTTTGAGAAATTAACCATTTTCGAAACCTCAAAATCTGTTCTTCATCAATTCAACATTTCTTAGGGAATAATCTTAGATCTAGCCCTTTTAAGCTAGGAGCCATATGATTAAATATTCCAAATAGGTCCTATATTAAATATGTGATCCAAGGCTCAGAATATTAATACTATCTAAGATACATCTTGTTTATAATCATTACCTGTGGTAAAGAATGTTGAATTTATGGAGTATCATAGATGCATTCTCTACCCCTCCCCCTCAAATTATCTTCTGTCTCAAAAAATAGTATGGAAAAATCCCTCTTGAAGGATTCAAATTAGTTAAAACCATAGAAGGGGAAAAACAACAAAATTTTCCTAAAAATCTGTTTCAAGTTCAGTATTTAATACTTTACATTAATAATCACTGCTGGTTTATAAATCCCAATTTAGTTATTCTGTAATGCTACAAACCTTATAATCAAATTAGTAAACTTCAATGATTATATTTTAATTAAAAAACAGCATGTGTAAAATAAAAATGTATCCTATAATAACTGATTTTAAAGAAAATAATCAAGTGATGAAAAAAGCACTTAATCTCTTTCATATACTTACCTGGTTTAATCATAAAGAACTCTCTTAGAAACTCAAGACTAGTGGCTGGGTGCAGTGGCTCACGCGTGTAATCCCAGCACTTTGGGAGGCCGAGGTGGGTGGATGAAGAGGTTGGGAGTTCAAGACCAGTCTGACCAATATGGTGAAACCCTGTCTCTACTAAAAATACAAAAATTAGCTGGGTGTGGTGGTATGCACCTGTAGTCCCAGTTACTCAGATGGCTGAGGCAGGAGAATCGCTTGAACCTGGGAGGCAGAGGTTGCAGTGAGCCAAGATCGTGCCATTGCACTCCAGCCTGGGTGACGAAAGAAACTCAAGACTAGTAATATCGACATCATCTTTTAAACTAGGATTGAATTTTTACAAATAAATATAAATAAGCAATATTGCATAAGTGTGTGCTTTCTATGACACTAATGTGACACTTGACATGTTTTCACAGTCATAGTAAGGATATCCATTTATGAAATACAAGTTCTCAATAAACTTTCCACAGCATGGGAAATAAATTTCACTTAATAAATGGGAAGTCAGAAAAATTGATGTATTTGTGTGGCTGGCAGGCATGCAATTAATGCTTTTTATGCAGAAAAGTTAGAGTGTTTGCCACTATTGCTGGCAGTACTAATTATGAAAACAGTTTAACTGGGGTGGTTATACCAGCCGGTCACAGTGTGCATGTTACTAGTAAATAGGACTGAGGAGGAATATTTTGGTAAATTTCACTGGAATTTGGTCAGGCAGTCAACACTACAGTTAGTAAATACATTTGAAAACAAGTGTCAGAGTATTACAAGCCATTTACTGTCTGAAAGAATGCCTGTACATACCAGCATAGCTTTTTGGGTTTTGGCTTTTCAGACATCACAAATTGTCAGAGAACAAGGATCTGCACTTTAAGTACAATTCTGCTCTTTATCATTATTGTAGCTTCTAATTTACCAGCTACAGTTAATAAAGTTCTCAGTAGGCTGCTGCAATAAGGGAGGAGGGGTCTAGAGGGAGTGATTTTTTTTTAAAAGATGCTTTCAATCCAAAGATGAACTTTTATCGAACTTATATCTTCATGCTTTCCAATTTTTCTCCTCACTTTGCCTGCTTTTGATTTCAGTTCGCTCCCACTGACCTCATCTGGAGCATCTTTTGAATCTCCCGCCAAACCAGTTTCTTCTTTGTGTGTGTTTGTTTTGTTTTGTTTTGCTTATTTTTTTACTGGACTCCAGAAATCATTTTTCTATTAGAATGGCTTCTAAATAATTTTAGGGAAATATATTTATTTAAGATTTCTAAAAGACATTCATTTAAGAAATGTTCATTGCACTGCTATTTTGTCTAGGTTTAAATTAGCAAATATCCATGCATTTAAATGTTGATAAAGCATATCCTTTGCTGTAAATACAGGAACTGATGACTCAGTTGTTTCTGAAGATCGACTGAATGAAACTGAACTGACAGATTTAGAAGGCCAACAAGAATCCCCTCCTAAAAATTACCTTTGTATAGAAGAGGAGAAAATCATAGACCATTCTCACAGTGATGGATTACATACCATTCATGAGCATGATCTCCATGCTGCTGCACATAACCACCACGGCGAGAACAAAACTGTACTGAGGAAGCATAATCACCAGTGGCACCACAAGCATTCTCATCATTCCCATGGTCCCTGTCATTCTGGATCCGATCTGAAAGAAACAGGAATAGCTAATATAGCCTGGATGGTGATCATGGGGGACGGCATCCACAACTTCAGTGATGGGCTCGCAATTGGTAAGTGGACTGGAAACCACTGTCTGTTCTAATCTTATGGATTATAATATGTATGATTAAATTTGGCTGGAGCTTAACAAATATACTGTTATGTATCACTCTGGTAAGTTGATTTTCCCAAAGGCTACAGTTTTGTGTTCAGTTGTTACATTTGGAGGTGTGAGGGTATAATTTAGTGGGGTTTTTTTGAACATGTAAACAAATGTCTGTAGTATATTTGTTTAATAACTTGATTTCTCAAAGTACAGTTACCATATTGAAAAAGCTGCTTAACATTATATTTTCAAATGCATTTACATGTCCCTGAAAGAGAACAGTTTAATTTCAATCTTAGGTTTAATAAATTTTCCGTATCTTTGAAAAGGCAAAAAAAAAAAAAAAAAATTTTACAACATTGAAAATCCATTGTACTAAATTCAAATATATTAGTATCTTGCTAAAGTAAACTGATATTACCAGTTAAAGAGAACATTAAGTGTGATCAATACATTATTTTCTTTGAGATCCAGACTCTGTTAGCACCCAGAAGTAAGCTTTGGTTTCTTTCAGAAAGCAGAGACAATGTTTTTGAATTTACAGTAACTGTTTTTTTTTGTTTTGTTTTTGTTTTTTTAATAGAGACAGAGTCTAGCTATGCTTCCCAGGCTGGTCTTGAACTCCTGACCTCAAGCAGTCCTTCTGCCTCAGCCTCCCAAAGTGCTAGGATTACAGGCATGAGCCACCATGTTCAGCCTATAGTAGCTGTTAATACTAAAGAATAAATAATTCTGCTTGTAGACCTAAATGCATTTATACGTCTGACCTCAGTCCTCAACACTACCAGACAAGTAATACTTTGTGCCATTTATTTTCTAGGTCTAGAAAAGTTTTGATAAGGATATTAGCCATTTAAATCCTTATAAAGATCAATGTGAGAGAGCAAGTACAATCTTAGACTTATAAGACTTAAAGTTGACCATCAAACTACTACTTTGAAAAGTAGTAGGAAAATTGTTACTATCCCTGAGATATTAGTGAGTTGGAAGGCTACAAAAATAGAGAATTAAATTCAATATGGAATATTGCTTTTATTGAATAGCTATTTCTCTAGTTGTCACATACCTATTATACCCCACTATATGTTCAAAAACTAGTGTGTGTAAGATAAGTGAGTCGCTCATATATTAAGAAATTAATTTAGATAGGCAAAGGAAACTGCATCTGTCATTAATGAAAATGTGAAGAGTTAAGATCAGCAAAGCTCACTTGTTTTTTTTCTTATCTTCCTCAGGTGCAGCTTTCAGTGCTGGATTGACGGGAGGAATCAGTACTTCTATAGCTGTCTTCTGTCATGAACTGCCACATGAATTAGGTAATATAACCTTAAAAATTTTACCAGATTTCATCAAATGTAAGACTTCCTTAATTGAAATTGCATTCAAATTTCAGAGATGTTCAAGCATAAAAAATGGCTGATGGCAACTATAGTGTCACTAATTGTAAGATATTTCATGATGTTAAAATATGAAAAATATGCTTCTTAAGATTGATGAAATGTTCATTTCTGTGTGGTTTCCTTTGCATTCAGTAACATAGTTATGCTATTATAATGAACATTATAGATTATGACTGGTTCACTAAGTATAACTTTTAAAAAGAAATATTTCTTAATTTAAATGCCACATTTTGCCGTTAATCTACTTTTATTTCATATACCATGTAGACTATATTTTTAAAAGAATCAGGGTAAAGTTTGCAATTACATAATTGAAAGTTTTCCTAGATGTACCTAAGGCAGTCTTTCTTCATAAATAATGGAAAGTTATTATTGATGTTCAAAAAAGTTACCTGGATGGTTATTAAAGATAGGGTTGCGTTCTTAACTCTGTTACTAACCAGCACTGAGGTTTTAGAGTAATCATTTATTTCCAAAGCTCTTATTTTATCTATGAAGTAAGAAGGTTGGATGATTTCTGTTTTCATTTTATATATTTTAATATTATAATCTTAATACCCAAAAATCTAGTATGTGTTTCTTACGTGATTTTGGTAGGATGGAGCTGAATACTCAAAAAGTAATCTTTGAAAACCTGTATTTTTATTTTTTCATTTTAAAAAATGTTTTCTTCTTTATCGATACACTTTCAACTATAGTAATCATATATATTATGTTGGACTTGATTCTTTTTTTTTCCGAATGCATTTCCCATTTGCCCTTAGAAATGAACGCTAGAAATGAGCTGCACTTTTTTTTTTTTCTACAAGAGAAATGGGTTACATTCTGCTCACTTTGATTCCCTCTCCTTATACATCCCCTATGTTTCTTACCTTATGTTACTTCTTACTATGTTTTAAAACTCTCCATCCCAATTACGATGAGTTAATTTAATATATGGCTTCTGCCCAGTACTCAGAAATGTGCTTTCACCACATTTTACGTATTTAGCACCTACTATTGGACACAGCACATGGCCTTTAATTTCCTCCTGTCACAGATAGTAAGTAGTGCATTGAACATCTCTAGACTTGGTACCTGTCGACTCCTCTGAGATATATACTCAGAAACAGAATTGACAGGTCTAGGGTATGCATGCTAAAGCAGTATGATTTCCAAACAGTGATACCTGAAAGTTCTTGTTGCCACAACCCTCCCAACACTTGGCATTAACTCACTTTCTTTTTTTTTTTTTTCTTTGAGACAGAATCTTGCTCTGCTGCCCAAGCTGGAGTGCGGTGGCATGATCTCAACTCACTTCAGCCACTGTCCCCCGGGTTCGAGTGATTCTCATGCCTCAGCCTCCCAAGTAGCTGGGACTACAGGCGTGTGCCACCACACCTGGCTCATTTTTTTTTTTTTTTGAGACAGAGTTTTGCTCTTGTTGCCCAGGATGGAGTACAATGGTGTGATCTTGGCTCACCCCAACCTCCACCTCCCGGGTTCAAGCAATTTTCCTGTCTCAGCCTCCCGAGTAGCTGGGATTATAGGCTTGTGCCACCATGCCTGGCTAATTTTGTATTTTTAGTAGAGACAGGGTTTCTCCATGTTGGTCAGGCTGGTCTCGAACTCCCAACCTCGGGTGATCTGCCTGCCTCGGCCTCCCAGAGTCCTGGAATTACAGGCATGAGCCACTGTGCCCGGCTATAATTTTTGTATTTTTAGTAGAGACAGGGTTTCACCATGTTGGCCAGGCTGGTTTTGAACTCCTGACCTCAAGTGATCTGCCTGCCTCAGCCTCCCAAGGTGCTGAGTTTACAGGTGTGAGCCACTGCACCTGGCCTTAACTTTCTCTGTTTTACCAAGGTAATGGATGTAAACCATTTCTTTTTTATTTTAGTTGGTATTTATTGGTTTACCAATTTAGTTTCTCTCCACATGCAGTAGTGCTTTGGGTTTTCCTCTTTTATAAATTAGAAAACAGTAGCTTAAGATGTAAATAGTCATTCACATGCAAAATATCTGAGGGAAATGGAGATGGCATTAATTTGAAAGAAAAAAATACTAATGTCACCTTTTGAATATGCAAGGGATTTGTTCATGTGTTTTCTAATTTAATTTTTCTGAAAACTCACCTGGCTATGAAATGTCTGTCATTTGTGCGTAATTGTCTTGATTTGTAGTATTTGCTTATTTTTAATATAATTTACCATATGATTTTCTTGAAAAATCAGTAACTTCTTACATAAAGCAGTAAAAATATATTAGTGCATACTTGGTGCTGATTCCTTGGGGCTTGATTCTGCATGGTTTCATTTACCTTGCCAACTTCAGACACATAATCTTATCTCTTGTTCATGCCCATTATCCTTTATCCAGACCAAGTCATCACTGTCTTTGTGGTGTTTTGCTTAGACAGTTTCCATAGTCTTTGTATCTCGGGTTTTATTCTGTTGTAGTGTATCATTGCCAGATATATCTGTTTAAATGTGATGTTTTCATATAATTAAAGTCTTTCAGTAACTTTCCTGACATATAAAATAGAGCTGGACTTTATTAGTCACATTTTTTTTCCTCCTGTAACAGGGTCTCCCTCTGTTGCCTAGGCTGCAGTGCAGTGGCGTGATCACGGCTCAATGCAGCCTTGACCTCCTGGGCTCAAATGATCCTCCTACCTCAGCGTCCTGAGTAGTTGGGACTACAGGCAAGCACCACCATGCCCAGCTAATTTTTGTATTTTTGATAGATAGGGTGTTGTCATGTTGCCCAAGCTGGTCTTGAACTCCTGGGCTCAAGTGATCCACCTCCCTCAACCTCCTAAAGTGCTGGAATTACAGGTGTGAGCCACCATGCCCAGCTATGAGTCACGCTTTCAATGACCTTCACTTCTCTCTACCTACCTTTTTGGTGTTACCTGCAGTACATCCTGTTACATGTTTTTCATTTCAACTAAACGCAATTCACCAAATGTGTAGTGTGGGTGCCTGAATCTGTTTCTTTGTTTATACCATTCTCCTACATGGCTGGCTCAAATACTTCTGTTCCTAGTTTATCATGTTAAGAACTTTCAACTTCATTACTGTCTTTTACCTCATGCCTTGGATTACTGTTTCCTCTAAATTTTTTTGTTTGCTTTCTCGGGGTCCTTCGCCCATTTTCTTGTTAGATGCCCAATTTCTTAAACTGTAGTTTTTTAATGCATAGATACTATGTCTTATACTCTTCTCTATCACATACTGCTGTTAGTCTATCACATACTGCTTTTAGTCTAACTCCACAAATCAAGGCTATCAGTTTTTATATATGAGTAACATGTTGCCTCATATTTAATCTTTCACTAAAAAAAACCACTATTTTTAGTAATAGACTTGGATAATCATGCATATACCTCCATAATGTACTAGAAAAGCCTCTAACTTTCCTTCCTGTTCATCTACCCACTACCCGATGAATGGCGTGTCAGGCTACCTCAAGTTTAAATGTGGTTTTGTCAAATTGCCCTAACCTTGAAGTATTCACTCAGACACAGAATTGAGAACAAGTTGGAGATTAAGGATGGTGACCTTCTTACCACTTCTTTTTCTGTCTGCAATTTCTCATTGAAGGCGTGACACACAAGGGCTGATAACCACGTGTAGGACAAATGCATTATATACATTAATGGCTAGGTAAACCCTTGATACTCAATGCAGAGCTCTGGTAAAAAACTGGAGCGGAGAACTCTGCTTGGGCCAGGACCCCCTAGTGAGTCATTCAGACCTCAGATGTCTACCTGTTTTATCCCAGAAATCAGAGGTTGAGATGTTGCTACTGCTGTGAGAGGAAATGTCAAGCCAGAGTATACTGAATTTTGCCAGAGGGAAACGAGTAGGCTTTCAGAAAAATGTGCATTTTTCCTAATGTTAAATTGACATAAACTGTACCATACTCTAGCTGGATAGGCTACTAGGGAAGAAACAGTGTAAAGAAATGGCCCAGCTTCTTCTTCTGGAGGTGACAGAAAGGCCTCTGGTCCTTGTATCTATCAACAAGTTAAGAAGTGGTCTAGGGACCATAAATAAAGGAAGTAAGAATATGATTGTGGAGCCTAGTTTTTGTCTTAAGGCACAGCAAAGGGCACTTTTGTACAATAGGACCAGGTCAGTGTTCCTACTCTGACCAGATCATCTACTCTTAGTCGGAGAGAAACAAGATGTGGAGAAGGGCATACACGGTTCTTCCTCAGAACTCCCAAGCACAGGGAAAGTCATTCCTCTGTGGGTTGAGTTAGAAGCACGGCAGATAGAGCCAGGGAGAAGTCCACTCCCCACTTTCTAGGTTAAGATGTTGAAAAGGCAGTATAGTATGTCACATTTCAGGATAATCTATTTGATCTAAAACCTAATTTTACCCTGTTACATTTTTTATTATGAATTCTTAAAACGATTCTGAGATTTCCATACTGATCTCAGACCCTTGGAGGAAAAACATGTTTTCAAATTACATTGCAATACACTGGAGACTGACCCTCAGTTGGTCAGTAATTCCAAGTTCTAGTGTTCTATTTCTGAGCAGATTGCTGTTTCTCCAGTGGTATATTCACTGAGACACATAATTGAAAATGAGTTGTTTTGGAGATTAATGATGGTTACCTTCTTACCACTTACCCCTTTTTCTCTCTGCAGTTTCTGCACGTGTGTTTTGTAGTTGTGTTTAGAAATGTGATATGTAAAAACATATCCCTAGAACCATAGAATAACATATAGTTCAGGGAGTTTGACGCTAAGAGACATGAAGAAATTGAAAGCATTTGAGGAAATAGCAAACTCACATCTCATTTTGTGTTTGCTCTCTGGTGTGGTAATGGGTTAAATTGCCTGAATTATTAAGTCATTACTCTGTTTTCTGTGTTTGCCAAACTTATGTAGCTGAATTTAAGTTACAATACTACTTTGTCTTATCTCTTCACTTTTTTCCACCTTCCTTCAATAAGGAACTGTATAAGCATTTGAAGAATAATTTACATAAAAGCCTGTAGTAGGAGGAGGCCATCTATAGGGGATATAATATTGGGGACCATCGGGGGCAGGAGGAAGACAGCCGCTTCCAGGTTTGAGCTTAGGACGGATCAACCACTTGGGTGTCGTCTGTACTCTCAGAACAGCCCCCCGGGTCTTGGAGTCCACGAGGGTTTCACAAACTCCTGCCTGAATTCTGAGACTCCACAGAGAGGCTTTTGACTGTGGATAGATACAGAATTCTTCTTGTGGATGTTGGGATATGAGTGGGTCACCTTCCATTTTGACATCTTGGTCTGTCACAATTTCCCAAACATTCTTCTTGATGTTGAGTAATGTGTTTCAACTTCAAGGAAATAACATTTTAATAAATAAATATAGCCATGGGGCAAGGGTTAGAAAACTTAGCTGTTGGGTACTGGGTACTATTGTGTAGTATACCAGGGTGATCATTCAATCATACCCCCACACCTCAGCATCACATAATATACCTCTAACAATCCTGTACATGTACCTCATGCTTCTAAAATGAAAGTTGAACAAGAAAAAATATGTAGCCATATTACTAAGACTCAATTAAGAGAGGTTATAGTGTTGTACATTTTTCCTTTCCTCTCAAATTAAGGATTACATAGAAATTTAAAATGAGATTTTCATAATGTGTTAAACTGTCCGTGGGAAATTGAACATTCATTGTATACATTTATGTAGAATTTTAACATGTATACAACTATTATTTAAGACAAGAATAAAGAACCTTAAAATATACACATGTTTTTAAAAATCCTCAATAGTGGATGTTAACAGATGTTAACATCTATAGCATTGGATCTCATTAGTTTAACAGCTTTGGCAGGCACACCTCATTCATTGTGCTAATGATATCCTTTGTCAGCAGGAAGGAAAGAATATTGATTTATCAAAAGATGAATAGATTTGCATGTTTAGTATAAATCTCTGCTGTGAGGATTCCTTTGACTTAGTTTTAAAATGTTTATACAGGTTCTTAATGAGAAGGGAAATGAGGAAAAAGGGAAAAACATGCTGATACCTTTGAGAATTTATAACTTGAGATAAGACTACAACCAAGATAGATTTGAAAATAAAATAATTCACTTGATACAAAGATAATTATACAAAAATCATTTGTATTGCTATATACTAGCAATCAACAGTTGAAAATTAAAATATTATAATAGTATCAAAAATGTGTAATATTTAGCTTAACTCTAACAATATGTGTAGACCTACAAATCATCAATAAAAGAAACCAAAGGAGACTTCAATGAAGAGCTATACCAGGTTCAGGGACCAGAAGACTATTGTTAAGATGTTAATTTTTTCCTATAGACACAGTGAATGCTCAGTAAAAAATCCAGCAGGCTTTTTTGCAGAGATGAACAAGCTTTTTAAAAATTTTATATGGAAAGGGGAAGGAACTTAAATAGCCGTAGAATTTTGGAAAAGGGCAGCCAAGTTGATTTAAGATTTACTATAAAGCCACGGTAATCAAAACAGTTGGAATTGGTGAAAGAGTAGACACATCAATCAGTGGAACAAAGCAAAGAGTCCTCATATATATGGCAATTTATTTTCAACAGAAATACAAAGAAAATTCCATGTTGAAAGGATGGGATAGTATTTTCAACAAATGGCACTGTAACAATTGGACATCTACGTGCAATTAAAAAAAAAAAGGAAGAAAGAAAAATACCTTTGACCCATATCTCACTATAGAAAAAAAAATGAACTCAAAATAGATAATCTAAATGGAGACTCTTAAAAATAGAAGAAAATATAGAATATCTCTGTGTCTTTGGGTTAGGCAAAGTATTCTTAGATACAGCACTAAGAGCTTGCACCATTAAGGAAAATAGTCATAAAATACACTTCTTACAAATTAAAAACTCTTCACAAAAGACAGTTAACAAAAAGGCAAGCCACAAACTGGGACAAAATATTTGGACAATACATACCTGACAGAAGACTTCAATCACAGGAAGACAAACAGCCCAACAAAATAAAATAGACAAAAAGACTTGAACAACATTTCACTGAAGAAAGTATACAGATGAGATTTTAGATGCTGGATTTCAAATTATGGGCTGACTAGGATGTGGAACAGCTAGAGCTCCTATACATTGCTGGCGGGGATGCAATTTCTTATAAAATTAGAAATATGCTTAACTGTATGGCCCAGTGACCCCACTTAATAGGTGTCTGGCCAAGAGAAACGAAAACTTATGTTGACACAAAAAGCCTGTTTATGAATGTGTGCAGTGTCTTTTGCCATAATTACCAAAAACTGTAAACAACCTAAATGTTCTTTGCTGGTGAATGTAGATAAATAAACTGTGGTTCATCTGTGGAATACTACTGAGCAATAAAATAATTTTCTGATATACACAGTAACACGAGTGAGTCTTACATGCATTATTCTAAGTGAACAAAATCTAAACTTGACAGACTACATACTGTGTGCTTCTATTTAGATGATGTTCTGGTAAAGGCAAAATCATAGGAACAGAAAGCAGATTGTTGTTTGCCTAAGGGCGAGTGGCCTAACAAAATTTTAGAAGGGTAATTAAACAGTTCTAGAGTTTAATGGTGTTTATAGCTATAGGGTGTATGTGTTTGTCCAAATTCATAGAAGTCTACATTTTTTAAAAATGAAATAATTATGTAATTATACCATAATTTTTAAAAGTATTAAATGAAAATAGTTCGCCTTGAATCTTGATTAGTTAATTCATGCTGTTTGGTTGTTACTTAGGAAGGAACTAAACCATCTTGCTATCCAGTAATATTAGAGAAGGCAACAAAGTTGATCTATTTTGTACCCATGACACCGTTGTTCATTGAGTATTAAATAATGCTCATTTTTAAATGCATTACTAAATTATAAAAGAAAGCAATGCATTTTGTAACCTAAAAGACACTTCTGTAGTCTGTTTTATATAACCTGCTAAATGAAATTGCCTCTCTAGCACAGTTGGTGTGTGATTTATTGAAAACAAGGAGAAGAAATTTGTTAGGGAAGTTAGGGAGCTCTTTCCACAGAGAAAAAGCTGAGAAAGACTGGAGAAAATTAAACAGAACTCCAGGAGAGAGAAGAGATAAAAGATGATATTAAATCCAGGTCTCAGCAGGATAATTAACGTATTTAGGATCAGAGGAGAAAAGATGTAAGGAGAATAGCATTAGGTGAAAACTGGACAATTACAACTTAGAAACCATTGGTAAATAATCTCCTTAGGTACATTATCTTAACTTTCCAAAATGACGCCGCAGTGTTTACTTTGTAGCAATTTGTTGGAAGGTAGAAATATACCTTGCAGTAATTTCTTTATTGTTAACTTCTCCTTGTTGTAGACTATGACCTTGTAACCATGAGAGGTATAGAAGAACAGATCATGTATCTTTAGATACGTAGCTGTTAAGATCCTTTCTTAAGGGAAAGAAACAAACCCAGTCAGTATTCTGTATAGCACCTTGCATATGCTGAGTGTTCAATAATTGATTAGATGTTTGTTCATGTAGTAAGTGAAACGAAATTATTATAGTAAGTAAAGCTAATAATGGGTTTTTTCCTTTCATACCTCTTCAAGGTGTAACAACAAGCTATTGCTTTTGACCCATTAGCTTCAATACTGTTATCTCTAGCATCATTTTGCCCTTCTACTGACACTTCTCTGAGCAATATTTTTTTTCCCCTAATGTTTCAACTTCATTTTTTTTCGTAGGCAGGAGTCAAGCTTGCAGATAATGTTCCAGCTTTAGACAGATGAATAAGAAAAGTGCCTTTCTTCTTATTTAGAGGGAGGGGGTGGCGGGAGGAGAGTCCATTGAGGATCCTTAGAAAAAGCATTTCAGTATTTTCCCTTCTGTGAGCTTTTGTCTTACATCAGCTCTGTGGTTATGGATGATTTCAGAGTTACCAGTGTCACCATTCTTCATCATCACAGTTAGAAACAGACTTTGGAGCATGGCTTAATAAGAACCTGGTATTTGCTCTGTTTTCAGCATTGTTGATGCTCTTCAGAGCCTCAGCCAGACATTTATGTGCATCATTGTAGAAGCATGGAAAAGTGGTAGGAAGTGGTAGGAAGTGGCTCTTTATTCTTACTACATTTTTAGAATTTTCAGGATGAAAGTTTAATTTTTCTTTCTGGGGAAAAAATAAATAAATGTAACCATAGCATAAAATATACTTAAAGCACCTGTTATCTCTGTTCTTCCTTAGGCCATTTCCCTTTGAAGAAAGGGTAGAAGTTCAAGCAGGGAGGTCTTGATTGTTGGTTACAAGAAAAGCGGTGACTGTGTTTTTTTCTTTTGTAAAAATTTTACATTTAAGTTATACAGTAGAATTGACTTTTTGTGAGTACAGTTCTTTGAATTTTAACATATATATAGATTTCTGTAATCACTGCCACCATCAGCATCAGAGTAGCTTTGTCACCCCCAACAACCCCTGTCCTGTGCTCTTCCTTTAGAGTCAGCTTTCCACCATCCCCTGGTAACCACTAATTGTTCTTTATTATTACCGTTTTGTCTGTTTCAGAATAGATATATAACCTTTCGGGTGGTCCTCTTTCAGTATTATGCCTTTGAGATTCATCCAAGTTTTTGCATGCATTATGGTTTCATAAGTAAAATATTTTATATATCACATAAAGTATTTTTATTAAAAGTGTGTATCTTTTTAGTGCTGATTTTAGTCGTTTTTCTCCATTCAGATTTGTGTTGTAAATCCTGTGGTTTTAAAACATTCCCATTGTTTCTTAATTGCAGGTGATTTTGCAGTTCTTCTTAAAGCAGGCATGACTGTAAAGCAAGCAATTGTATACAACCTCCTGTCTGCCATGATGGCTTACATAGGCATGCTCATAGGCACAGCTGTTGGTCAGTATGCCAATAACATCACACTTTGGATCTTTGCAGTCACTGCAGGCATGTTCCTCTATGTAGCCTTGGTGGATATGGTAAGATTTTTTTTGTGTGTGTGTAGTACTAAATCTGCAAATGAAAGAAATCCTTGGAAGTGGTTTGAAGCCAAACTATTTTTAAAAATATAACTCATTTTAAAGGCATAATATCCTAAATAATCTCTTAAGGAAAGACATTTATTTAAGTAGGAGGTTTCCTTTTATGGAAACCAGTTGAGTTGCTGAAAATGTCTGTCCAAATGATGTTACTATTTAAATAATCATTAGTAGTAGAGTTATAATTACAGAATTATTATACTATTTTGAAGACTTTTTGTAATACTGGGGTAAAAGTGTTTTATTTTTGTTAGCAAAATTAATTTTTTGAGCTTGTTTTGTGGCAAACAGGAGAGAAGTACTATTCCTGTTAGGTAAGCCAATCTTCTGGAAGGAAGTGGTATGTATTCCATAGGGTTTATATAATTTCTCTTATTTCTAAATTTAGCTTAAAGTTAAATGTAAATGCTAACAATTTGTTTTATTTTGATTCCACTTTAATACCCCAAATATGTTTGTATATTTATAGAACTAGCAATTAGGTTTTTTTGTTTGTTTGACCAGATATGATGTTTACTTTTTTTTTTTCTGGTAAGATCATCACAGTCTTATTTCAAAATTATGCAGCCATTTTTTTTTTCTTTTTACAAGATAGGGTCTTGCTCTGTTGCCCAGTCTGGAGTACAATGGCATGGTAACTCCTGGGCTCAAGCAGTTCTCCTGCCTCAGCCCCTGAGTAGCTAGGACTATATGTGACTGCCACCACAGCCAGCCAAAAAAAAAAAAGGTGTGTGTGTGTGTGTGTGTGTGTGTGTGTGTGTGAGTGTGTGTGTGAGTGTGTGTGTGTGTGTGAGTGTGTGTGAGTGTGTGTGTGAGAGAGTGTGTGTGTGTGTGTGTGTGTGTGTGTGTGTGTGTGTCTCTCAAACTCCTGGACTCAAGCATTCCTCCTGCTTCAGCCTCTCAAAGTGCTGGGATTACAAGTGTGAGCCACCACACCCAGCCCAGCCTAAAAAACAATTGTTTCTTTTTGTTTACAAAATTACCTAGGAATAGTCATCTTCCCTGCTGACTTTTAATATCTCATTTCCTATTCTCACCCTCGGCTGATAACCTTGCTTCTGATTTCATGGGGAACACTGAAACCATCAATCCACAAGTTCTCATCATCACTTCTGCTTATCTTGCTGTATCTATGCCCATTTACATTCTTTCCTGTTACCAAAAGGAAACTTCTTAGCTGGTGCTCCTGCAAACTGTTCCCTAGAACTGATCCCCTTTTGCTAACTCCCTTAAATTCTCCTTTCTCTTTCCCACATCATTTCCCTGCTTCTGCTGGATTATTTCTATTAGCCTATAAGCCTCATATTACTTCTCCCTTCTTAAAAAGTTTGGGGACCTCTCTTAGTTCCAACTTCCCCTTCAGCTGTCACCCTATTGCTGCTCTCTTTTAGAACATTTTCATTGGTTTGGTTTCTTTGGTTGGTTTTGTTTTGGGTTATTTTTTGAGACAGGGTCTCACTCTGTTACCCAGACTGGAATGCAACGGTGCAATTATAGCTCATTGCAGCCTCGACTCCCCAGGTTCAAGTGATCCTCCTGCCTCTACCTCCTGAGTAACTGGGACCGCAGGTGCACACCACCATGCCTAATTTTTTTCTTATTTTTTAGACATGGAGTCTCACTATCTAGCCCAGGCTGGTCTTGAATGCCTGGCCTCAAACAATGCTCCAGCCTCAGCCTTCCAAAGTGCTGAGATTATAGGTATAAGCCACCATGCCATGCCCATTGTTTATTTTTAAATTTTTCTCTGTTTTTGAGCCAAACCTAATGAGGTTTTCCCCCTGACTTTTCTGCCAGAACTGCTTTTGTCAAATTAACCATTGACCATGGCATCGCTAAGTCTACTAGTCATTTTCCAGTCTTCATTTTTCTTGTCATAACAGCAGAACTTGACAGTTGGTCATTCTCTTTTCTTTGAAATGCTTTTATGTCAGTAGGCTTATGTTTGTTTGTTTGTTTGTTTATTTGTTGTGAGACAGTCTTGCTGTGCTGCCCAGGCTGGAGTGTAGTGGCATGATCTCAGCTCCCTACAACCTCCACCTCCTGGGTTCAGCGATTTTCCTGCCCCAGCCACCCAAGTAGGGGCGATGACAGGCATGTGCCATCACGCCCAGTCTTTTGTCAGTAGGTTTCTATAACACCACAATTTCCTGGCCTTTTCTCCACCTTGCTGGCTTTTCTCAGACTCTATACTGGATCCTTCTCTTCTCCCCCTGCATCTAAATGTTGGCAAAAGACATAAGTAATTTTATCTAATTTTCTGGCTTTAAATATTTATTGGCTGATGATTCCTAAATTCGTATCTTTAGTATAGGCCTTTCCTTTAACTCCAGACTAATCCAAGTGTACTTGAATGTCTACAAGGCATTGTGCACTTGGCATGTTCAGAACAGCTCTTGACATTGCCAGCACTACTCCTTGACCAGCCTGTTTTGTAGAATTCTCTGTCTCAGAAATGATGATACTTCTGTTCTTCTAGTTGCTCAAAAACCTGAGTGTTATCCTTTGACTCAACTTTTTGCCCTCCCACATCTTGTTTGCCAGAAAGCCCTGAGACCTCTTTCGCCTAACCACCTGTACCCTCATCATTTTCATCCAAGCCACCACCATCTTTCTCTTTTTAACTGCTCTCCCTGCTCTGCCCTTGCCCTGCCTTCCAACTCTGTATCAGCTCAACTAGAGTGATCCTTTTAAGTCATAGATCACATTATCCCATTTGTATGCTTCACATTGTGGTTTTTCATCCCATTCAGGGTAAAAGTCCTAAAGTTCTTTCTTTGACTTGCAAAGTTTTTCATCATCCTTGAACATTTCCACTCCCTTGTCCTCCTCAGTTTTCCTATCCTTACTTCAAATCCTCCCACTCTCACCAAGGGACACTTTGCGTCAGGGCTGTGGCACCTGCTGATTACCCCTCCGGAATAGTTTTCCTGCAGACATCCTCATGGCTAGCTCCTGCTTAGGAGGCATCTTATCTAAAATTTAAATCTCCCCTTCAACATTTCATATCCTCTATCCCTGCTTTACTTTTTCTCCACTGTACGTGTATCTCAACCTATTAACGCCATTTTACTTATTTATTGTGTTCCTTGTCTTCCCCACTAAGATGTCAGCTCTGGGAGGACAGGCATTTTTGTCTTACTTTATATACTACTGGAAATTTAGTTTATAGTTAGTATTCCCTTTCATCTGTAACACTAGAAATTTACAGATACAAGAAGAATGAGTCTTTACAGAAAGGATTTATAGTTTAATGCAGAAGAAAAGTAGTCATTAATTACGGTTATTTTCATACATGTTATGATAGAGTTTTGCACCATGTTTGTGGAACTACAGAGAGGCCGGCAAAAAAGATGGGGAATAGAAAGTTTTTCTGTCAAAAAATCCGAGCTGAGTTCTAAAGAATGGAGTTTATTAGAAGCAAGGGGAAGGGTCGTATGAGGAAGCTGAATGATTTATAACATCATTCCTTTGAACAGTAAGTCTGTAGCTAGGACTATATTCTGAGGAAATAACATGACTACTCCTGATAAACAAATATAAAACCTCACTACTTGGTTCTTTGCAGTAGTATTTATAATGTCATAATTATATTGGAAACACTCTAAATGTTCAAGAGAAAGGGAAGAAACCATCCACATATATTTTGTGAGATTTTAATGACACAGAAATTGGGTATTTTCTAATGTTAAAGTAGGAAAAAATGGATCCACATTGTCATCAGGTAGGTGTTGGCCATATCCTGACAGTCACACAACATGCCATACCAAAAAGATGGGAGTTTATCTTGTAAACTTTGGAGAGCCATTAAAAAGTGTAAGCAGTAGAGTGACATGATCACATTTTTGTTTCAGAAAGACCACTTTGGCACTGTGGAGGAAGACTTTTATTGATTTAAAGCCATTCAATAAGATATCAACAGTACCAGAAGTTTTAGTTTGAGATACCTATAGGATATCCAGGTAGAAGTATCCAGTTGTAGAGGACTTTGAGTGGTGCTGTTTATCAATCAGTATTGAAGCATTTTGTATAATATTTTAAACAAGTATGGCCATACCCATAGGTGTTGATTGACTCTTAGCTGTGGTTGTGACAAACAGTGTGGGTGTTGACATTCAGGTAAATGTGGCAAAGCTATAGTTCCTATTCTAGTTGGTATGTATATATATCTAGTGGGCATATTTCTGTAAAACATCCTGCATATTGTTTATGCTTAAGTATTTAAGGAAAGTCATAATGAAAAATCTTTGTAACAATAAAAACTTGGGGGAAGGAGGAGAAAGGATAGAATAAAATAGTCTTCTTACTAGAACCATATGTAAGAAGCTGTCAGTTTGAAGGGCCAGATAGTAAATGGTTTAGGCTTTGGGGACCATATGGTTTCTGTCACAGTTATTCAGCTCTGCCATTGTAGTGAGTGGTTCCTGTGACAGCGCCTCTGCTGTTGTAGCACAAAGGCTGCCACAGACAATGTGTAAATGAATAGGCATGGCCAGATTCAGTATGGTTTGCCAACTCTTAGACCATTAGTTGATTTGATAAAGTGATTTTGTGAATGGTTTGGACAAGAAAATAATCTTTACTAGCTATTATATACCATTTCTGTAGACTATTAAACAGAATTTATGATAGCATGCTGTAGGTCTTAAATATGACCTTTAGAAGATGGCTAAAATATACCGTAGCACCGTCAGAGCATGGTGGTTGGATTAATTGTACCCATTATTTAATAACAAATAATGATGTTTCTTCCTAGACAGGAAGAAGTATGAATTAAGAATTACGTGACTTAACACTAGATTTCTCCTCCCTAAACCCCAAAGCACCAAGATACTGTTTTGGAGTAAAACGTAGTGTCCCAGAGAGTAGCATATCAGTGTCATCTTTCTGTAGATATTGATTGCACATTTGAACTATGTTTGCAGAAAAGTGAAAGTAAAAATTGGAAGTAGCAATTCTTTCACAATTTTAGATTAGGTTTGGGTGGAAAGAATGTATGCCTATAATGATGCAAATGTATTTCTTCCACAAATCTTATTTACTTAGACAAATTAGAGGAATTTAATTTTTATATTTTGAATCTACAGATTACTCTTAGATGTAGTAGTATGTGGTATGCTTTAGAAATTGAAGTATATAAACTTTTCTTTTTTTTTTTTGAGACGGAGTTTTGCTCTTGTTGCCCAGGATGGAGTACAGTGGTGCGATCTCACCTCCACTTCCTGGGTTCAAGCAATTCTCCTGCCTCAGCCTCCCAGGATTACAGGCATGCACCACCACACCCAGCTAATTTTGTATTTTTGATAGAGATGGGGTTACTCCATGTTGGTCAGGCTGGTCTCAAACTCCCAACCTCAGTTGATCTGCCTGCCTTGGCCTCCCAAAGTGCTGGGATTACAGGCATGAGCCACCACGCCCAGCCGTGTATAAACTTTTCAAAGCACTATGCCTTCAAAGATGTGACAATTTTCAGAATTTTGACATTTTATCCATATTAAGAGAATAGAGTACACTGTGAGGGCAGTGTGTATGACTTGGTACTAGTTATGCTGGATAGCTCTGCTAGGTTATTTTCTGTGTCTGTTACTGCAATGAAAGCAGTGGCTTAAGGGCATAGAATGGCGATTTGGATTTGTCCCCAAGCATCTCTTTGCTGTCATGTGCAGTGGGAAGTGAGAATTTCAAGTGGAAAAGAGTGAAGAAGTGAAACCATTTTGAATTAGTTATTTCCCAAAAGAATCTTCCTTTTTTTAAATTTTTATTTTTATTTTTATTTTTTTTGAGATGGAGTTTTGCTCTGTTGCCCAGGCTGGAGTGCAGTGGTGTGATCTCGGCTTACTGCAACCTCTGCCTTCTGGGTTCAAATCATTCTCCTGCCTCAGCCTCCCGAGTAGCTGGGACTACATGTGCGCCCCACCACGCCTGGCTAATTTTTCTATTTTTATGGGTTTCACCATATTGGCCAGGCTAGTCTCGAACTCCTGACCGCATGATCCGCCCACCTCGGCCTTCCAAAGTGCTGGGATTTCCAGGCATGAGCCACCATGCCCAGCTCAAGAATCTTTCTTAGTGAGTTTAAGATACATTAGTAAATGTGGGAATTGTGGTGATCTTTTTTTCTGAGTGTCTTATTGGTAATAAGTTGCTTTTATACTTTAGCATAAAGTAAAATGTCAGAATTTGTAAGGTCAGTGGATAGTAACTGGTTGAAAAATGACTAATGTGTATATTTTAAGTGTTTGTTGTGGGGGATGATGATGAGGAGGGAACAGAGTTAGTATTTCCTTAATGACTAGCGAAAGCATAAAATTTCTTCAGTATTTGACTAAAATACATCTGGTGGGTAGCATTGTGTTCAATAAAATAATTATTTTGTCTGTAGTTACACTTTAGTGATTTATTTTAAGTAGGAAAATGGTTTTAAAAACTGTTTTGAGCAGAAGTATTATACAAAGTTTAATGTGAAGATTTGTTTTTCTAGCTTCCAGAAATGTTGCATGGTGATGGTGACAATGAAGAACATGGCTTTTGTCCTGTGGGGCAATTCATCCTTCAGAATTTAGGATTGCTGTTTGGATTTGCCATTATGCTGGTGATTGCCCTCTATGAAGACAAAATTGTGTTTGACATCCAGTTTTGACCTTTCCCAGTAATCACTGTTGATTACGAGAACGTTACCATGCAGCTTTGCATCTGTTCCTTGTACTGTATGCACGTTGCTCAAAGGAAAGTCAGTGGCTTGCACTACTTACAAGTTTCGTAGATTTGAGCCTAACCACAAAAGGCCGGTGCTTAGTACTGTTTTCCCTGCACGTAGGGGTCTTTTAAAAATATAAAGCTTGTGATAAAGAGAGGAGAATATGGGACTCCATGAACCAGTGTTGATGTTTGATTAAGACTTTTCACAAAATAATCATATAAAACACTAGTCTCTTTATTAGTAGAAACTTCTGTGGCTATGCAGAAATAGAGATCGAACCAAAAAAAATCATTTAACTTTAAAAATATTTTAAATGGACTTTGGGGAGACATTTTTTGTGTGTTTTTAAGAATGAATTGTAGTGTTCTTTAATTCAGCTACATATATACATGTGGTGATAGGGATCAACTTGACACAGCTTTGAAGCTGCATAAAGTAGACATAGGAACTAGAGGAAAGCTCAGGCTGCATTAGAGTATGAATTTAGCATTGGGAAAAGCCCTTATTCTTGAATCTAGAGTTACTATTTTTGTATATATTTGCATAGTGTTTAAACCTGCAGCCTAAACTACTGAAATTTGTGATTGTATGTTTGTGTGAGCTTCGGTTTAATGAAAGATTCATAATGGTTCTTTGTATTATTATAATACTTGGTGTTGGGGTGTTCTTTCTGTTTTGTTTTGGTTTTTACTTTAATTTTGTTTTGGTTTTGTTTTGTTTTGTTTTGGTAGGGGGAGGTGAGGGTTTGGAGCATGTGGTCAATGTTCTCTTTTTAAACAATTGTAACTCTCTAGAAAATATCAAAGAAATGAACCAAACATGGTTTAAATAGTTGATTTTCCTATTTTAACAGTACCAACTAGTTAATTGGGAAATGTAAGTTCTGAATGTTCACGTTGCTTTACCAGTTTGGCATTGGAACCAAGAGCATATGCCGTGGCTGGCTACAAGGTCATAAAGCAGAAAATCAAAGTTTACCATGTCTGTAATCTGTACCTGAAGTGTCAATTTAGAACAGTGACTAGGATAAACTCCGTTATTGCCATGGCTGTCATGGTACCCAAGTGACTTGGAAGACACATTTAAATTACTCAGCTGAAATCACCTGATCATCTTGTGCCAAGATATGCTGTTGGTGCCTGATAGAGGTTAGTCTCTTTTTTAGGTGCCCTGTTCTCCTAACGTAATTGTGAATGATTTGTGAGAAGTGCAAGCCATGTTTATCCTGAAATTTTACTTAATAATTTGTATTACTAGTCATATGCATGTAGCTTTCTGTTTACATCCTATGCCACATGGTCTTCATTTATGCCAGGTAAACTGTATTTGAACTATGTGCAGCTAGCTTTGTTTTAATCTGCTTGGCAACCAGTGTAGCTGCTGTAACAATCTTATTGTTCAAATATATAAGAGCCAAACTCTTTTCCATTCCATCTAAAATGTTTTCATTTAGTACTCTTCTTTCCTCCTACTCTATGAACTTTAAAACAAAAACAAAACTGAGAGCAGCACATGCATCCAGGTATTTATAGATTATTGCCAGTGTTTCTTCTGTATGCTGTAAGCAAGGGAGCTTAGGTGTTCTTTAATTTATGCTTGAATCTGAAAAATTATTTCTGACTTACTCCATGGCCTCCTTATAATAAGTAGAAGTTTTATACATAGATTATTTTCAGCACTGGGCACTGAATTAGGACAGTCCTCATCTCATTGCTTGGCCCTTCAAGCAACCTAGCTAAAAGGTGCTGATATTTTATTTAGTACTGCCAACTTCAAGTGATTCATGTATCTTGATTTCTGAACCAAGATATATTTATAGTTCATTTTTGGGTTTTTATACCCAAATAGGATTCTGCATTCCAGCATTAAATCTGCTTCATTTTAGAACTTTTATAAAAGCAACAGCTGGAATATACTCCCAGTTTTAAAATACCTGATTTAAAGCAAGTGGGTTATGCTGAAGTATATAAAGTTTTATATTCTCTCAAATATTGTATTATCTTTATTTGCCAGATTTTACAAATCTTTTAAGAGGGCTGTAACAGTTGCTGCTAGTATTAGGGTTCCACCAGTATTTAGTTTTCACATCATTCTAATGTATAGTTTCAAGTCTTACTAGACAATCTGAATTCCACTACATTTCTGTTGGCTCCAACATTCCTTTTAGCTTGACCAGTCTAATTTAAAGTGTGTTTGTTGGAGGTCATTAATGTTACTTGTACAATGCTGTCACTGTGTGACATCCATATGAATTTTGGTATATATCACATTGCATTCAATCAGCTGTGATTATGCTTAGAAATACTATAGTAACTAGATGCAGTGTGAATTTTTTCCATTAACAAACAATAAAAGTCAGTGGCTTAAATGTGATTATGGTCCTGCAAGGTGATTCTTGCTAAAATATCTAAACTTTTGTTTTAACTGAATCATTTTTTTTGTAACTTAAAAAGCTGGAAAATATCAAATGCTGTTTTTTTTTTCATTGTCAACAGTGGTGTGTCATTTTATGTATGTTCCTAATGCTTATGGAACTCCTCCAAAATAAAGTTACTCAGAGAGAGCAAATATGCCAATGTGTTTTCTTTAGTCTTTATTTCAGAACATTTCCTTACATTTAAGTGTGAATCATATTAAGTTTATCTGCATTTGCTCATAAGTAAATTCATAATTATAACTTTAGTCTAATGTATTTAAACCAAAAAAAAATGTTTAAGTAGTAAAATATGCTTCCTACTCAGCCATCCAACAAGAAATAGGAACAAGGAAATGACGTCTTCTGGTTATGAATTAAGTTGACATAACAGTGCCACACCTCGTCCAATCCAGTGTTCCTTGGGTTGGTCAGAGGGAAGAGTCATGGCAATCACAAAATTTGTGGAATGGCCAGTGGTGGATAATGTTCCTCTCCGCTCACTTGTCTTATACAATGGAGCAACATAACTTGGCCGTTTCGGAATATCTGCCCTCTTACAGGGCTTTAGCCACATCTGGAAGAAAATACATAACATCTCTTTAAGTCAAGGCTGTTAAATATACATGTATTTGAGCCTACTATCGTAGTCTCAGAGTAAGGTTATGTATGCAAATTTCTGTGGCCCAAACAGATTTATTTTCACCAGCGGTGCTGTGATTGCTCAGAACATTTTATAGAACTCTCATAACTGAGACAAAATAGTTTTCGCCTACTCTGTCTAAAACCATATTTTCTAACTATTCCTCTCTCAACCACAATTACCTGGGAAATGACTTTTAGTACTTACAATGATAAAAAAAAAAAAAAACCCAGACATACTTTCAAAGGAGAGAATTGCCACACTGATACTCAGAATCATGTGCCTTTATATTAATTGAAAGCCAGTCCCAAAAAAATGCTGAAGGGATTTTTATCAACAACTGTATGACTAGAAAACCTTCCCATTTTAGGAGACTACTATAAAGGAGATACTATATATATTATGCTGTTTAAAATATAATTGCATTCCTTTATAACCACAATCTATACCCCATCTTTTTAGTCATTAACCAAGTTCCTACAATTTATTATTGGACCTCACCAGTCTTAAAAATAAGATTTTGAGGCAATTTGATCTTTGAATGTAAGAGTAAGAACAAACCATGTTCATAAAGATATTTTAGAATTTAATTCAATTTATTTTTCTGGAGTAGAAGTAATAGCAATCCTCGAGATGATAGGACTTGACAGCCCCAATGTTCAGACCCCTCTTTTAGGTTTCTCTGGTCAAAACACAGATTGTTCAAGGAGCTTATAAGGATGCGAGTTTCTCTATTTCTCCCACTTAATTGTGGAATCCAGATTTTCATAAGGGGGGATCCACAAGGCAGTTTCTGAAATATTAACTACAACATAAGACTCAAAGCACTCTTCCGAACTCAGATTTCATTTCAACCCCAGGGGATTTTTCTAATGAGAATTTTTATTTCTAAGTAGCTCCTTATTCAGGAGAACCATTATCAGTTTATATATTAATTTATTTTTGCACACACTGCAAGCTACTTAAGAGTTTCCATGTGAAAGACTCAATTTCGATCAGCTCCTGAAATTGCATTTACTTGTCCTTGCAACTTTCAATTTGGGTCTTGTATTTTAAACTTTTGTGCCCATGGCATTTTAAAATATATGACAGCTTTCTCACAATTGGCTGTCAGTTGACCCCTCACTGATCCTGTTACAGCTGCTCTGAAGGGCTTTTTACCTGTCTTTGAGCTGCTGCCAGAATCCTGCAAACAGAATTCACATAAATCCCACTGCCTATATTTTATCACAGCATCCCAGACCTACCCTTCAAATTGCTGTTTTCTTAAGCCATTTTCTCATGATGCAGTTATAGAGGGAAGCTTAATTATATTTTGTAAAGCTTAATCTGCCAATGCTGGAGATAGGTGCCTAGGAAATGTAGCTTTTTAAATTGATGGTTTTGGCCGGGCGCGGTGGCTCAAGCCTGTAATCCCAGCACTTTGGGAGGCCGAGACGGGTGGATCACGAGGTCAGGAGATCGAGACCATCCTGGCTAACACGGTGAAACCCCGTCTCTACTAAAAAATACAAAAAAAAAACTAGCCGGGCGAGGTGGCGGACGCCTGTAGTCCCAGCTACTCGGGAGGCTGAGGCAGGAGAATGGCGTAAACCCGGGAGGCGGAGCTTGCAGTGAGCTGAGATCCGGCCACTGCACTCCAGCCTGGGCGGCAGAGCGAGACTCCGTCTCAAAAAAAAAATAAAAAAAAATAAAAAAATAAATTGATGGTTTTCAAAATCTTTTAATATGCAAGTTTCACATTTTCAAGTCAAAGTGTACGAAAAAATATATAATGAACACGTGTGTGAATGTATATACAGTTGACCTCACTATTTGTGGATTCCACATTTCCAAATTTGCCTGCTCACCAAAGTTTATTTCTAATCCTAAAATCAGTTGGCAGCATTGTCGTGCTCCTTGGTGGACATTTGCAGAGCATTAAAGATTTGTGTCATCCAACACACTTTCCCAGCTCAGGCTGAACCAGGTGAGAGGCTCTGCTTTCTTGTTTCACCTCATAACCGTAAACTAGTATCCTTTTTCATGGCCTATTTAGTACCAGAGTTTTCACATTTCTGTGTTTTTGTTGGCGATTTCACTGTTTAAAATGACCCCCATGTGTAACGCAGTGCTGTTTTTTTTGTTTTTTTTGAGACGGAGTTTCGCTCTTGTTGCCCAGGGTGGAGTGCAGTGGTGTGATCTCAGCTCACCGCAGCCTCCACCTCCTGGGTTCAAGCGATTCTCCTCCCTCAGCCTCCCGAGTAGCTGGGATTACAGGCACCTGCTACCACGCCCGGCTAATTTTTGTATTTTTAGTATAGACAGGGTTTCACCATGTTCGTCAGGCTGGTCTCGAATGCCCAACCTCAGGTGATCCACCCGCCTCAGCCTCCCAAAGTGCTGAGCGACCGCGCCCGGCCAATGCTAAGTGCAAGAAGGCTGATACGCCTCGTAGAGAAAATATTAGCTCATGTCTCAACGAAGCTCATAGAATTTTGACCGTGAGTTAATGTTAATGACTCAACATTGTATATTAAATAAGGTGTCTTTAAACAGACACAAATAAGGTTATTTTTTGATCAGCTAACAAAAATGTTGTGACCAAAGAAATAACCCTGTATTTATTTCCCCAGGAGCAATGGTTCAGTATTTGCTAATTCAATGTTGGAAGCAACTTTATACAACGTAATTCCCATGAATAACAAGAATTGACTGTATATGTGTTTGTTTATATATATACATATGCACACGCATATATACATACAAGATGGGGTCTATTTTATATATAAAATATGTATAAAATAATTCCACATGTATATATAATTAGAATTTACTAACCACAGGCACTGTATCATAAAGAATTTTGGGATGCGATTCTGCAAGTTTCTTGATCTTTCTATTCCAAGAAGCTCCATCCAGAAATAATCCATGAATGAAAACACCTAAATATAAAAGAAACACGTTAATATAACACTTTATATATGCATTTTGATTGAGTTCTGAATCTGAAATTTCTAATGTAAGTACTATGCAGGTGATACTAGATTTGCAGCCTAAGACTTGTTCTCCAGTGAAAGCAATCTCCTGAGTGTTTTAACATCCATATTTCAAGAACATTGAAACTTTGCCTAGTGAAATAATGCAATAGTAAAATTAGGTGTGGAAGACGAAAGAGGAAAGAAATTTTAAATGAGTCTATGGGAAGTTCTCAGTGTGTGTGAACGTTATCAAATTTACATTGTTAATTAGTCAATAATTATACTGTGTTTTCAGAAGCTGTGAAATCTAGGGGGAAAAATAGTTCTTAATAAAGGTAATAGGGATCGAGTGGTGGCCAGTGGGCAGCATATGAACAAAGTACCCTTCTGTAGATCTCTAATGTCGTAAGAATTAAATTGCTCCTCCCCTTTTAGAATTTATTCTTACTGCCAAGAGCTCTCCTTAGTCTGTTGATGATGAAAGACACGTGATGAACTCTCTCTAGAAAGTGATGTTGTACACTAACAGCTAAAGAGTACAAATTAGGCAATCAGTGAAACATGAGTTACTTTCTTTGGCTTTACATTTTTTGTAGAGTTGTATATGAAAATCTACTTCAGCAGTGCTGTCCAATAGGACTTTTTGCAATGATGGAAATGTTCTATGTGTTGTCCCATATGGTAGCCACTAGCTACAAGAGGCTGGTATTAGTAAGTTGAACACTTGAAATGTGGCTGGTGTGACCAAATAACTGAATTTTAAATTTTATTTTAATTATAGTTAAATTTAAATGGCCACATGTGGATAGTTTAATGATGGAGTTGGGGAAAGACCCTTTCTCTTCTCTGGGTTTTAACTGATGGGAAGAATACGTTGGAATACAGTATCAGTTCTATTAATTGACAAAGCACTTGTCCAATAACTGCCAATGTATAACTCTGGTAAAGCTGGATTGCAAAATGGACCTTGAGCCCGGGGCAATGGAGGGGTGGACCTGCGTGAGGGAAGAGATGGGTCTGTAGAGCACATTCTGCGTCTTTACCTCTGTGGCCAGCTCTAAGGCCAGTCCACCAGTCACCAAAACAGGTGGGGATAGGGCAAAGAAGGAGAACTTTATAGTATGAAATACAATGGAAAAGAAAGAGAACCTATACACAGGTCCAAGTGAGCTATTTAATACCCTCCCTGGTATTAAATACCCTCCCTGACTGACTCGAAAGCATAGCCCAATAAATTTCTGCCTCTAACCAATCAGACTAGTTATTCCTCATTTGGGAAGAGTGATAATATCATAGAAAGTAAACCAAAGAGTTCATGTCAACACCTAGAAAAGTGGTGATAGGGATAAAAGTTCTTTCCAACCCATCAATTGTATAGGAAATAAGGTGAGAATCTTTAAATACATTTTTATTTCTCATGGCTAGTAAGGACCATGAAGATACAGATATATAGAATATATAGAAAATGACAGATGTTAACAGGTCCTTGTTCATAGCTGTCCTGCTCTATGAGTGATGCCCTTTGCCATCTGTGAGATGTCATCAGCACATAGTGT